ACAAATGGACTAAGGGTCCAGATAAATTTGAAATAACATTTTGGAATTATTTATAAAGAATCCTTTCTGTGGGAAAATGCTTTTATTCTGAATTCTTTTTTTAAAAAAAGACTTTAAACATTGAACACTAGAGGGAACTAGAGGCAACTAAAGATTACAATTAAAGGAGAGGAACACTCAAACTCAACTTACACTTACAAAATGAAGCAAAATATTTTAACATTGGACATGCTGAAGGATATTTTTGAACAATGGACTCAGAATTTAATTTTAATAGTGTCTGCCTCTATAGATAGACTGTGTTTAAAAGATGTTTTGAAAGAGGAACAAATTTTACTTGACAAGATTGAGGCTGAGTTAAAAATGGATTTACAAATGACAGACTACAAGAATGACATGGAAAAAGAAGTTACGCTGGACATACAAAAGAAACCGGCTGATATTTTAATAATTAAAAGGGATATACAAACAATAAACCAAGAGATTGACCTGGATAATTTTCCTATATTGGATTGACAAAAGAGGCTTGTTAAAGTTTTGAAGAATCTCATGAGAAGGGACAAAGAAAAAATGAAAAAAAAAAAAAAAGTTCTATGACATTATTTGAATGGACTAAAGGTTAAGATTGTTAGAAGTAAAAGGAAGGAATACAAAGTTGGTTTATTTGATCAAGGTTAAAATAGATATGTTGTTATTTCTGGTAACTGTTCATTGGCTTTTGCTGTCACCAGGACTGAAATTATGATGCTTTATGGATTTGTTTATAGATAAGAGATGGGATGTGGGAAGAAGAGATCATTTGTTGTATTCTGTTAAAATAGATATGTTGTTATTTCTGGTAACTGTTCATTGGCTTTTGCTGTCACCAGGACTGAAATTATGATGCTTTATGGATTTGTTTATAGATAAGAGATGGGATGTGGGAAGAAGAGATCATTTGTTGTATTCTAAGAGAAGTGATAAGTTACTAAAATTGTTTATACTTGTGATAAAGGTGGGAAGTCACTTCTTTATATATTTCTTTTATTTTTCTTTACTATATTCTTACTTTCCTTTCCTTTTTTTTCTATTTCTCTATTTTTCCTTTTTTTCTTTCTTTTCTGCACCTTCTACTTTTTCTATTCTATCTTTTTGTTAGTTTGTATTAGTTTTTACTGTTGTAATTATAATCTTTAATTAAATTACTATTAAAAAAGAAAGAAAGAAATGAAGAGCAATAGCATAAAATGGAATATGAGTAGGGACATGATATCAGTTTCAAGATTATATTCAGTGTAAATTATACAGTTTTATTAAAAAACAGTCATTAAATTACTATTAAAAAAGAAAGAAAGAAATGAAGAGCAATAGCATAAAATGGAATATGAGTAGGGACATGATATCAGTTTCAAGATTATATTCAGTGTAAATTATACAGTTTTATTAAAAAACAGTCCCACTGAATTCAGCTGTATTTATTCCAAGGAAAGTAAGTAGATGTTTCCAGTTTAAAAGAAACAAAAGTATACTGGAAGTTTGCATCTACTCTTTGGAATTATTAACCAAGAATTCATTAAAAAAATTAACAAAAAATATAAAACAAATTACCGAAATTCTCTCAGAGATGTCTCTCTACAAAAATCCATATAGAAGAATATTTTTACAATATAATTACTGACCGGAATATTGAAAACAAGTATTATAAATAAAATTATTTATGTCTGTGAAACAAATAAATTACTATTACCAGTAATAGAATTTACTATTACCACTTGGTATAGTGAGGTGGTTTAAAAAAATAAAATTGTTTAATAAAATTTTGAAAATAAATACTTGGATAAAATATTTACTGTTTTATTTAAAATACTCCCACTTTGCATTATGAAAACATACAAATGGTATTTATCACCATATTCTTGAAATACTGCTCCACAATACAATATAAATCATAACAGTAATAGTAATAGAAGCGATAAAGCAGAGCCTGAATCAAATGGTATCTGAGAATAGCAGAAAAACAATTCCAGAGAAGATGCTAATAAGGTAAAGGGTAAAGTGAGCACCTTGGCATTCAGACAAGGACCTTTTCATTTACACTTTATAGGGCTTTTCAGGAATAGAATTTATATTCTAAGGTGAACTGCAGTATTCAATGCATTATTTCTGGTAGCTACCTGTCTAACCTCTGAAGAGAAGAACAAATAGTAGGGTATGACAAAATGATATTTTATTAGTCACATCAGAACTTTGAATTGTTCCTGGTACTGAAATGGAAGCCAACAAAGTTCCTTCAGCACTAATGCCTAGTTCATGACCTATATTAAGCAAGGTGGGGTGTGGGAATGAGGAGATCCAAAGTGGTACATCCTCTGCCTTCACATCCTGCCCATCCTGCACCAGTTATGTGGGATGTGTAGGGTGGCATGCCTCGCTAACTGAAGATTAGTCAAGCACGCCTAACTGAAGTAGAGTTATTTTTTCTATTTTTTAAAACATGCTGGAAGCCTTCAGAACAGATTGAAACATAAACATAAGCAACAATTACAACCTTAGCCTTGACTCTCTAATCAGAGCACTATAGACATTCTGATGTGTTTCTAGAATGTGTAACAGGAGTCGGAGATAATTTGAAACGTAATCTAATCTATGAACCTAAACCGACACTAAAATAGTACAGTATTATTTTTCCCAATGAAGTGAATGGTGAAGATTCTGCAGCTGAGGTAGTTCTGTGTACATGAAATGAACAATATATTGGATAAGGAATTTCTAGACTGGTATGTACGAGAGCTGAATTAAGGCCAGAGTAGGCTTGATGGTACCTGAATGTAATTAGATTGTACATTCATTTAGTAAATAGCTACATGATCAGATTTGTAAAAACGAGGGGAGGGACCATCCACCCTGACCTCTGTTCTCCCAAAATTAGCTTTCCAAGCTGTTACTTACTTTTCAAAAGAAGTTTCCATTACTAGCAATGGAGTTTGCTTTGAAATGCAAATATTTTGGAACTTTGTCAAAACTATGGCAGGAAGAGAAAAGCATGTGGGAATCCACATTCTCAAAGTTTCAATAACATTCTAACTGCATATCTGTTTAACCCTTAGATAATCCATGAAAGAATAATAAACGCCCTATAGTTCTTTTCCCTCCCAAGATAGGTAGATACAGTAAAGGCCCATGTAATATGAAATATATCCAGTGCTTTCACTTTTCTGCTCTTTCTTCTTCATGTTTACAAACACACATTTAATCTTATGCAGATCTACAGTTAATGTTCATTTATCACTTAGATTTTAGGTTTTGTTTTTTCTTGGTTTATATACTGTAGCTGCCAATAAATTGTCAAAATTATGGCTCTGTGAATATATCACACATGTAAATAATGTGCATCACTTGGAAATAGAACCAAGGAGTAGGAGGTAACTATTCAGACATTGAGTCCAATCCCCTTGCTGAGTGCAGGAATCCCATGTAATCATCCCAACAGATGTTTCTGCTTGAAATGTTAAGTGGCTATGACAATTTCTCCTAAAGTGTAAGATAAATACATGCTAAATAATTGCTCATAAAATGCAAAGTAAACTATTTAATTCACATATTTTCATGAGAGAGAGAGAGAGAGAGAGAGAGAGAGAATGAATCACTACATATGTATAAAATGTATATATTTGAAGCTGTATTATACTACAGATTTTCTTTAGTTCTTACTCTATAATTCAACATACTGTTAATGTTCTTAATTACCTTATAAGGCAAATATCCATTAATATCAATGTCAGTGTTAATTTATACTTCTATTTTATTTTCCACAAACTTGGATAATCAGCAATTGGGTTCTAATTAGTTGCAACATTTTTTTCCTTTAATTTTAAACAATGTATCGTGAGACATTACTTTTTTTAACCCCTTCTCTTTAAAATTCCAGTGCTATGGAAAAAATGTGGTACTGTCCACTTATTTACCTTGGCCTTTTCACCAATGACATTTCTCTCCAGCTCTGCTATCTTCCTGTTTAAATGATCTACTATTTCCTTCTCCTTGAGTAGTTCAGCTGTTTCAGATTTCTGCTCTGCTTCCAGTAAGGCACATTCCATATCCATCTAAGAACATAAAAAAATTCTCAGCTTCAATCCCCTCCATAAACTAATCCCAACATAAAGTTGGAAGGCTTATTCATATGTGATACACATTTGGGCAAAACATTGTCCTTAAAAAGCCACAATGTTTTAAATAGTTGAACATACCTAGACAAACAGAAAATATTGCAAAATACTGAATGCTGAAATCAAACTTCAACAGTGCTTATTTTCAAAGAATTTCTAGCTCTTCTGGCTTGTGGTTTGAGAACTCCCTTGTGACAAACTGTTGCACTAACACACTGGAGAAAAAGTGAGATTCCAAGCAAAGTAAAATTAATGGGAATGTATACAATTGTGCTAAAATTATTAGGAATGGTTTAAGAGGAAGCTTTAGTTCCATGGTCTTGGATGCTCTGGGCTTTCAGAAGTGCAATTTGCTGAACATCATATCCTTGCATTCCATAGTAATTGCCATATTGGCTGTTGCTGCTAAGAGTAATTTGGAGGGTTATCTATCTACAATGCTCTCAAATGTTTAGTACCTCATCTTTACAAAATATAAGTACAGCATACTGTAATATTCTGTTAGACTTCATCTTCAATGGTACAATTCTTTAAAGATGAACTAGAGAATAAATCCCAACGTACATGGGAGGATTTAATTCTGAATTAATATGTATAGAATTTCACTGGAAGTATGCAAAGCAAGGGTGTAGTCCTGAAGACCAAATTTATCTAGACCTAGTTTATCAGTGTCCAAATTACAGTCCAGATTAGAGTTACTAAACCTAGTTAATATCCTATCATCTGGTGTTAGGTTTTCATCTGAATTGTATTAATATCTTGGGCTAATTCCTTGTAAGAAAATGCTAAACGATTTAGTTAATATTGTGGGCTAAGTTAGCAGGTATAATCTTTCTTTGTACATTCACTTTATTTGTGAGATGTTCTTTCTGAGAAATGCCATTTTAATAATCTCTACAAATGTCTTGAAAATAGGCACGTATCCTATAACAAGGTTTATAGGATATTTAAACATTAAAATCCATCATACAGAAATAAATAAGAGAGACTTTATACCTCTCTGGAGGATTCATCCATCTGGTCATTTAAGTCTTTGATCTTTTGTTCAAGTTCTTCTAAGTTATTTAATATTATAATGCGCTGTTCTTCCATTTGATTAAGTTCTGATACTGTTTGTTCATTGCTTATGCATTCTGGTGACTGTAATAAATCAATAATTGTACTTTTTAAAAGAAGAGTTTTAAAGGATAAACATCCAGTAATAATTTTTCTTTCTTTTCCTAAAACAATCAGCCCCAAAATAAATGACAATAACAATCACACCTAACTGTATTTTAATTAAACTTATTTTGTTATATTCAAGAATACTCACATTTCTATATTTTTTTCTATAAACAAAATAAGCACCAACACACAAGCACACACAAAGTATAATAGTTGTTAAATTATTTCAAAGCCTAGTCCAAAAGTTCTTGAAAATGTAATCTATGAATCCTAATTAGCATGTTTCCTACAATTTCAAAAAAGGAAGCCACCCTGAGCATTTCTGACAGGTGACTATCTAGCATCTTATGAAAAACTCCAACCAACTGTACTCCTTCATTTTTGAAGGCTGTCAAACACCTTATACTCTGAAGTTCTCCCTACTGATTATTTGAAATCCCTTTTAATTTAACATTTTCCTTTAATTTGTACCCTGTGAAGCAACTAAACATCAGTCTGTTTATTTAATATTTGAAGATGTACCTTACGTACACTTGTCCATCTACAGCAATTAATTATCAGGAAATGTTTTTCCAACCCTACTTGAAATGCTAAGCACCTGAATTTGATGTATTCTAGATGTAAACAGAAAGCCAGTTTGGTGCAGTGGGTAAAGGCACCAGGCTAGAACCAGGAGACCCTGAGTTCTAGTCCCACCTTAGTACAAAGCCAGCTGGGTAACTTTGGACCAGTCGCTCTCTCTCAGCCTAGGAAGAAGGCAAGGGCAAAGCACCTCTGAAAATCTTGCCAAGAAAACTGCAGGGACTAATCCAGGCAGTCACTAGGAGTCAACACTGACTTGAAGGCACAAAAAATAGAAAGAAAGAAAAGATGTATATTCTTCTTTGAGATACAATGTTTTCCTTATTGAAATCACCTCTTCGTCATTTTCTCCAGACATTTTGGAGACAGTCTATTTGAACCATGTCAACATATAAAATTAAAAGGTCACCCTCTTTAGTTTTGGCTACTGATATAAGTGTAATCTATGTGAGGATGCTTATGATTCCTGCCTGTCATATCAAAGGCAGATACATTTTCTGGAAACTAGATTTGCAAAACAAAGGTGGCACCTGAGAATTACACAGACCTCTTTCTCAGTGCTGATAATAATAGTCAATCACAAAGTGCACTGGAATCTGTGTCTGACTTCAGAAAAGAACTGTCTTTACCTGAATGGATTCCCTCTCCCCCCACCCCCCGCCTCCCCAAAAGAGTCTATGGAATAGTCCTAAAAAAAAAAAAGAAAAAAAAGTACTTTTGGAACTGCTGGTTTGACAAAATATACAAACAGTTAAAATTTAGAGGAGATATCCACTGATCCTTCCACCAGAAAATATTTCTATTTACCTTTGACATAATGCTTAGGTAAGAAGATTCACTGACATCCTTCAGGAAAGCAGAAGAAGATAAAGGTGAACTTGTCCTGTTGCCATTTAAATGTTTATTCGTTCTGATTCCTCTTGAGGAAAAGAAGCCCATAGAATTTTGTCCAAGATCACTGAATTCGGAGAAGTCAGAATCTTCAGCTTGAAGCTGCAAATGATCTCTGAATCTTGAGTCTGCTATTATCTGAGAATCTTCAAAAACAGAATCTTCATCAGACAACTGGAGTTTTTCAAGTTCTTTATTAATTTTCTGAACATCAGCTACGGTACTAACAGTGGCAGGTTCATTGTCAGGCTTGGAGTATTCTGCACACAGATTAAGAATGGTCTCTAGCCGCTGGCGCTCCTAATATTGAAACAAATAATTAAAAGTATTAAAGGTGGTAGAACATATACCAAAACTAATTACCACATTAAATGTTTTAAACATTTCACAAATTTTACGGGCATCATAACATTTTTTTCAGGCATACAGGAACTACCAATGTCAACCAAACTTTAAACCAGTGTTTCTCAATGACAGCAACTTTAAGACATGTGGACTTCAACTCCCAGAATTCCACAGCCAGCATGCTGGCTAGGGAATTCTGGGAGTTGAAGTCCACATATTTTAACATTTCTGAGATTGAGAAACACTGCTCTAAGCTATGAAAAATACTTATATTTAATATGCAGATTAAAAGAGAACTTAGGTGTTCATGGAGAATCAGAATCTTGTGTTCAATGGCACTACCAGTCAAAATTAGCTGGCACTTTAGCAGAGGCCTAGCAAAGGCAGTTTCAACCCCCCCCCCCCCCCAGTTTATTACTAAACTCATAAAATCAGAGACTGAACATTTTATTTGATCATGAAAAATTACAGTAAAATATGGTGGCTTTTATTTTCTTCCACATTCTATAAAGCTGAGAATATTCTCGACACAGAAAAAAGAAGTACAAAAGAAAGGACAAGGGTCTATCTTATGGCATCCAAGGAAATAACAGACACTCTCTCCCAACTATTCACTCTGCAGTAAACCCTGAGCATCAACTAAAAGGCAAGGCTGTTCAAGGAAGTAACTAATTTTACTAAGCTGAATATATTGATTTCGTTTTGAATTCTGTGTGTCTTTTGCCTTCCCTTGCTTTTCCCATGTTCCTCTTTTTCTGGTGAACTTTTTTTTAATATCTAGAGATTTGGCTTTATTGGATTAATATGGGAATTTCTCATAAAAAAAATATCCCTGTGGAAGACTGCAAGGTTGGACAGTTACACCTTTGTATTTCAGGACTGCAACAAGTTAAGTTCTATATTTCTAGGCTGCAACAGGCAATTGCAAAAGAGCTGGCTGGAAGGACTTAAGAACTCCTCAGGAAGACACATTAGGGCATGTCAGATGGCTTGACTTCATTGGTGTCTAACTACTAATGAAGAACCCTTTGAAGATTGTGTCTATCATGAATCACTTGCATGTCAGACATGAAAAGTTTTTTTTTAAATATAATTTTTTTTTCTTAAAAAATCCAGGTCCTCATATCCTACCCCTTTGGAATTTCTTCATGTGTTCCCATAATTGGTAACACCAGAGTAAGTAATTATTTTAGTATAAAGAAACATAATTTTTGTAGCGTAAGTATTTCCTCCAGTGAGTGCTAGAATTCTAAGCAAACTGTAGAAATAATTTCACTTTAGTAATAGAGTATTATCTAAGTGGATTGCTGAATCATACCTATTGAGAAAGTCTACAAAAAGTCATTTTACATATGAATTCTCTGAATTTGTGTAGAACAATTACAAGACTGACACCATGACAGAATTACAACATCACAGCCTTGCAAAATCTATTGCTAACTCAGAGCTTTCTTTATCTTTTAAGTGCAATATGTTACAATCTTAAGAGAAAGATTTTTCAAACTGCAAGCTAATCTGCCATAGCATCCCTTTGCTCTGCATTCAAAAGCAGTAACAATGAACATGAATACTGAGAAGCTTCATCTCAAGATACATAATCTTCATGGTATTTTAAACTTATACTTATTTCCCAAGATAACGTGAAACAATGAATTCAAATCCTGCTTTGCTCCAAATGCAAAGGTAAGAGAAAGCAAAGATATGGACATCAGATGCAATCCAAGTCTTTGCCTGTTTGCTTGGAGAGGCTTGTTGAGTTCAAGGCATAAAATCCTAAATAAATGTGCATAATATGGACTGAGGTCTACTCAATCCTTTGTTTTAGCAGGGATGGGAAGACGGTTTCAAATTCAGTAATCAAATGTTTACATATCCATGAAATTAATGTAGAAACTTCTACTATTAAAAGAAAATATAATCTCTTAACTATTCAGCTTAGAGTTGATTTCTAAATCTGCCTAATCTATGTATACAGAAGAGCTCCAAGTGTGGTATTAAAATTAAAAGTTATATTTTTTAAATTATCTCTTAATCTGAATCCCTTCCTCCCTCTGTTCAAACAAAACAGTAAATTAGGAAGACAAAATGATAATGAAATCCTTGCACCTTAAAACTCCTGTCTTCCCTCCAAGCATTTTCATCGAAAGCCTTCAATTCTCTCTTCGTTTGCTTAAACAGTGTTTGTTGTCTTCCTCTTAAGCCTGAATTCTTTGAGTACCCAACCCATTTCTGAAAGCTCCGTCTGACTGCTGGCCAGGAACACCAACATTCACCCATCATTTTGTGGTTTTAGTGCTATCTTCACAGCAAAAGTGAAGAACTGAAAAAAACAATGCTTGCTCACTGAGCCCACCCCCACATATAGCGACAGGATACATTCGTTTTGGTATCTTTTTCCTCACTCACCCTTCAGAACACAGGATGTATCAAATAGTAGCCCACACACAAGTATTTGCCTCTGTCCAGCTCCAAAGCATGCAGCCGAGGTTTACTCTGACAACGGTACGTACCAAACTCTTACTTTTGGACTGAATGATACTATAACTCCGTACAACAAAGAAAAAAGCTGAAACTCTTGGCACTATACAGATGACTATTCCTTGCGAAAAAATCTACCATTGCCACCAGTCCAAAACAGAAATCGGTAAAAGGAAGTTTCTCTCTTTCTTACACAAACACACATATGCCAGCAAAGCTGAAAACAGGCAGTTTAGCAAGAAACGACAAATCCTTACTGCCTATTTTTACAAAATTACTTCTACCTCTAAGCAAGAAATATACCTTCCTTGGCTTTAATCACTACTACAGTGGTAATTAGGAAACATGTTACATCATTTCTATTTCGAAGTGCACAACATGATATTAGAGAGCTTATGTACAGGAAGTTCTTTGGGCTGCTATTTTGTGATATCTATTTTCATCACTGGCCTCCAGCTACTCCTTGTTTCACTGCACTTTCTTTCTACAAATATTACAAATTTAAACTGTGTTTTTCATGTCAGGCCATCCAACAATTCATATATATTTATAAAAGTGAATACATAGTCAACAGTTCAATAGTAGAATATTGTATTTTAAAATATAGATACAAATTATACAATTGTTTTGTGGGGGCCCAAAGGAAATTGGGTAGATTTGCAAGATCCAATAAAATGAATATTTCTGAATATTCATCCTTGTCAAAGGCTGAATATTTCTCCTTTGACAAGGGTGAGCCATATGTGGCTCTCTCATTTTGTTGTCTACAAATTCCAAGAACCCACACAGCTACCCATGCCACCTATAATTAACACAACTAGGGGTTCAGCAATATTGGACGTCACACTTTGTCTATCCATGCTCTAAATTCAACTGTTTTTTGTAATTAACATCCTAGTCATTTATTTCAAAGAAAGTTTTAAAAAAAATAAGGCAGAATTTATGTATATTAATATCCCAAGGGAATAGGTTATCTTCTCCTTTGGCAGCTCATTTACCACCTTTACTCAGTAGTCATTATTTTCTAATCCTTATTCCCCATCATTATCCTCAGTTGCACAGTTGGGCCTTGCAACTGTTTGGTCCCATACATGTTCTATTTTTATGGGATCCTTTCTCAGTTACTGTATATAAATGAGATGTCCTACATTCTTCTTCACGCAATACATAACAAATCAATTGCATACGAATAGCACAACAGAAACAATATACTGCTGATAGCTGATATGAGTTGTTTGTCAACAAATAAGTCTCTTGTTTTCAATGAAGGAACTAGGAAGATAACTTCCAAATAATACAGTCAAATATGAGGAAGCTACTCTAACAGAATTTTCCAAGCCCTTTCCTTTTTCTCTTAATAGAATCATAAAATACTGGAAGGAATCTTGGATCATCTAGTACAATCACCTTCCAATGGAATCCACTCCTACAGCATTCTGGCAAATGGTCATCCAGTCTGTTTAAACAGCTCCACTGAAGAAGACTTTACCACCTCTCAAGACAATTTTTCACTGTTAAATAGCCTTTACTGCTATGATTTCTTTTTCCTAATGTTCAACCAAAACCTATTTTATGTATTCTTCTCATTATTACAAACTAATTATTTTTTTTTCCCTTTATGGAACAAGTCTCAACAATTCTGCAGTCTCCTGTAGTGAAGATAGCTATCATGTCTCTCAGTCTTCTTTGACAGCCTAAATATACCCAAAGTCTGCAATTATTTCTCCTAAGTTTTTTTATTCCATGCCACTTACCATCTTGGTTGCTGTCCTCTGGACATGGTCCAATCTGCTAAACTCATTCCTAAAATGTGTTGCCCAGAATTGGATACAATAACCCAGGAGTGGTCTGACCAATGTAAAATGGAGTCTCACAATTATTTCTCTTGGTCTTGACCATACACTTCTTTTAACACAGCCTAGAATTGCTTTTTTTAGAGCTGCATCACACTGTTGGCTCATGTTCAGCTTGTGATCTTCCAAGACACATTTTGACATGCACTGTTGCCCATTATAGTCTCTTCCATCATATTCCTGTATGTCTTTAAATTTTCCCTAGCCAAGTGGAAGAGTTTTCATTTGTCCTTGTTGAAGTTTATATTTTTGGTTTCTGCCCACTTGTCCAGCTTGTCAAGATTTGTCTCAACCCTGATATGGTCCTCTTAGGTGTTTGCTATTCTCTCACCTTTGTGTCACCTGCATGTCACGATTATTAATTTAGAAATTATAATATAGTGTTACTGCTGTTACATTTCTTTGTATTATTTTCATCCCTCTAATTTGTTCAGCATGTTTTTTAAAGAAAACGTTATGACATAATGTTTGGAAATTCTGTAGCAGCAAAAAATAAATAAATAAAGTCTTTCTGACAAGGATTGGCAAGTGGCTATCTTGTTCCAACTTGTAAAAGTCTAACTTCCCATAAAAAAAGTGTTAAAATGCTTTCGGTTAAAGAACCATTTAACAGCTATAGCACTGTACTTCACAGTACAATTACATGGCTGCTGTCATATGGTAGCAACTTAAATATCCACACTGACTTACCTATACTTGCCCAGACTCCAACCTCTGATTATATGTGAATAAACATCACTGGTTTCTTTGCTTCTAAGGATCCCCAAGCAGTTAAAATAACTAGATAATAATGACACATCTGCACACATATACAGTTAAGGCACACATATACAGTTAAGGCCACTGTGCAATAAAATGTTATGTTAAATAATTGCTTAATTCAATATATCACCATTATTACTGAGAAATATACAGAAGAACATCACGTTTCTATATAATAAACACATAACTTTATGTATGAATAGAAATGGATTTTTCCCCCCTTTAAAAGCAGCACTTCAAGGTATATGGAATGAATATTCACACCCACACATACATACACACCCACACCAACACCCACAGAGTATTAAAGGATTGCTGGACTAGAATGTAAGTATATTGACCTATCTGCAGGTTATTCATTGCTGTGATGTGAAACAACTAAAACCAAATATCTATGTGACTACATATGCATGAAAATCAATTATTTTTAAATTAAGACTACCATCTAGAGGTAAAACCGTGAATATCTTTAAAAAACTGAATATGGAGTTCTCAGCTTAAGCACTAGAGGCAGAGTTATCATACTCTCATGTTATTGCCCTCTCTCTTTCTCCAGTTGCTCTTCACCGGAAACGCTTGTTTAATTTCAGCATGTCAGCAGCAGATATGAAAACCAGAATTAAAATGCATTCACTAACAAGTGGTTATTTAGTAACAAATTGAAAGAATTTTATTTTTTAATTATAGTATATTATTGTTTGTCCAAAGTTTTTAATACTGCCCGAAATTTAACATACAACTAGTTATTTACCTGCCTTGGTAGAAATGGTCTTTACAGTTTCGTTCAGGGAAAACAGTACAAGAAAAAGAATGAAGCACTCCTACCTCCAGTATTGCTTTTATATCAATATCCTTTATTTCTTTCAATAATAGAATCTCAATAAAACCATTCTTACCTGCTTATAGAATATTCCAAACCTAGGAAAATAGAGGACCATATCTACTCCATCCTGACAAAATTTGGTTCAGAATTTCTAAATGTTTCAGACATTTAACAATGCATTTTATTTATTCCTTCTGTTAGGAGCACCAAGCTAGATTTCCAGTCTGATCTGATTATGAAACTGATATCTGATTTAAAAAATGAATCCCAAATAATCACTACCCTCTTTTATCACCTGCCTCCAGCATACTTAAAGTTGAGTCAATTCTAGGGTTACCACATCTGGATGGCAAAAATCTGGGCAACCATTAAATGTTAAATGTTTGAAACAGAAAACAGAAAATTTGCTGTTATTTCCAGTGGCCTGGATTTTTGCAGACCAGATCTGATACCCCCAGTCAACATACATATATCTAGAATATTACTATTTTCCCCAAATGCTTCTTAGAAGTCAGGTCACAGTGAGTTCAATGAGGTATATTCCCAGAAATATCTTGGTATCTTGCATATCCCTCAGTTTTTTTAATGCACTCATTTTTCTTCCTAAAAATAAAATGCCTCCATTCAACTGATTGCATAATATCTGGAAATTTGCCTTCCTTACTTTCAAAATTAGAATTCTGAATATAGAATGCAAGTTAAACCTTTTCAAATGAATAAAATGTCAAATTCACTTCAATTCACTGGAAAGGAATTTGGATTTTCCTTTGTTACGATTACCACTATCCAAGTGCAGCTGAATCTAAAAGTGGATGTTTTAAAACTAAATCACAATTTCAAGAAGCTCCTTGAAAGGACAACTAGAACTGCAAGTGAGTTGACCTTCTAAATCAATCAATCAATCAATCATCATCATCATCATCATCATATGGATGGTACTTCCTTTTAGGATGCACTATTTTACTTGTGAATGCCTTCAAAATGTTTGAATGTAGATTCCAATCCAATATCTCTCAGTAGCTGATGTGAAATGATCCTTGCAGGATGCTAAAAACAGAAAACTAAATAAAGTGGGAGGAAATTCCTTTACATGTAAACATTCAGTTGCTTTAACTTTTTAACATGTTTTAAAGCAAGTGGACTTACATCCTGTTGAGAAAAACAGAAGTATTTGTGCAAGGGAAACAGCTGTCAAATAAATTGGAAAATATTTTGCCCCATCTCTAAACAGAGAATGATTGCTTTCAACCTTTATAAGGGTATAATTAAAGAAGTCCTTGAAACCTTTCATTACATATTTTTCTCTTTAGTTTTTACACTAATATCAAGAGCTTCCACACTATGGGGATATTTTTCATTATTTTTAGGGTTGTAGGATAGACAGTATGTTTCTTAGATCTTGCATTTTGCTTCTGAAGCATATTCCCCTGCCTTTTCCTATTTTTCAAGCATACCGAAGTGAATATCACGTTAATTATTGCACAGCATTCGTAAGAGGTCAACCAAAGCAAATGGTTATATGCAGTTCAAAAGGCATGCATTTTTCAGTCTTCATCAATGGCCATTAAGACCTCAATGGAACCTGAGCAGTAAACTAAAATAAAAATAATTTTAAAATACTTGTTAATATTAAAACAGAATCTCATAAACTTGCCATATTTCATCAATTTTGCTTAAGAAATCATGCACAAATGTCTAAATCTCATGCAATCTCATAAGATGTTAAGACACATTTTAGAGGGAAGTCAATTTTTAAATCTAATATCAATTCAAAAACTCTGTCTCCACACTTTAGTCCAGGATGTACCCACTCAGTCCCCAGTATGCTATATGACCAAAATATATGGCCAAGCATATGATAAAAATGTTACGAAAGAGCAGCAGACTCTAACTTGTTTCTATGGTATTTTAAATCTATTATTATACAGGGTGGAACATGTCCTATTGACGCCTCCCCGCACTTTGAGGGGAAATAAAATAACATTATCAGTCTTGTGTACCATGCATATTGACTAAGTAAGGTACGCCACTGATTTTACAATCTTAGGCAACAAAATGACCTGGGTTTGTATTACTTTGCAGGCTACATAGAATAGATTAGCCTCTAGTGACTTAAATGAGTAATGCAAAACTAAAACCAAGACCATTTTTATGTCTGTCAGTACTCTTTAATGATTAAATGATTTACAATAGTTAGGTAGGGCTATAGTTCTTGGATGCAAACATCCAGAAAACTACTAGATGGCAGCAAATAGATACAGAAAGCTCTGTGTTTCCATCAAATCACAATACAGAGCAAGACTTGGCAGCCCAGAGCTGGTAGCCTAAAGTTAGAGCTTAACTACATGACACTTGTAAACCACTCTTGGTTTGAAAATTGAAAACCATCTATGGTTTTCACCCCTACACATGCCTAATATGTTCACAGTAGTTTGATACTAGAGTTTTTTCTAATTCAAGCATGTGCAATAGACCAAGGTATTTTTAAAAAGGAAAACTGTAAACTGTATATTAAGTAGAGGTAAACTGGAACCTGGGACTAATACTTTTTCCCATATCGTACCTGTGCTTTAATCTGGACAAGCCCAATTTGCCTTTTCAAATATCAAATGCAGCCATTCTGTGAACAGCCATGTAGTGTATCAGCTTTATCAGGCCTAGAAGTTTCAGAATTTAAACTTCCAACATATCCGTAGCAGGAGACTAAACTAGATTGTGCCTATAATTATCAGCGTGCTTTTCTTTCTCCAATTCTCTCTTTCTGTTCTTCTGACACTAATTAGTTATTCAATGCAATGTGTACTTTATCTGTTAAGTTATAGGATGTTGAAAAGACAAGTTCTTCAGAGCAAATAAACTGCTACTATATCTGGCACATACATTTGACCTTTTGTTTAACTGGCTGCCATTTTTTCACCAGCTTCCAAAATAAAAGACAACGGGAACAATTCCAAGCAAAGAAGTCCTTGTCTTGCAAGGCTCACTCAATTAAGTGGGAACAAGTCAAGGTAATTGTATCTGGTGAAGTATTCAGTTATTACATCATAAAATGAAATGTAGAGTGAAAGTCCACTTATATCTATCAATATTTCATTTTTAATACATACATTTATTTCTGATATATTCTTGGTAATTATTCCTTCCTACTTTAAAATGTTTCACAGATTTAAAAAAATAATCATAGATAACTTAAAAGGAGTTTTTCTCTAGATATGGGAACTACTCAATGTGCTCAAACTAATAAGTTTTCAGAGTTTTTTTAAATGACAAAGAATATTGTACTATCTTAAATAGTTAGACCTTAAAAATATTAAGTATATTAATATTAGGTAAATTAAGAGAGAACAGTAATAATGGCAATGAAACAATGCACTTGTAGTTATGAACTGTACAGAGGTTGGCCTAAGTTTATATTTAAAATATACTGATTTTGAAAATAAATACCATTTAATCCAAAGCAGTAATATTCTCTAATTGAAGTAATACTTATAACTATAACTCATAGATTTTAGGTGGGAGACATGTTTTACATATCCTATCGCTACAAAACAACAGTGTCATCAACTTTTTTTTTTCCTGAAGTGCTGGATCCCTGCAGGATATAATTTGTGGCTTGTAAATACCTGGTCATTTTGTCAGAACACACAAGTTGAAGCACTGTAAAAGTCTTTCAATTTCCTACACCGTATTGATGGTTTCATTGCACTGCATAGATTTTAAAGCAGGATGTGAGTTGACCAATTTTTGTGCCATGGTAAACATTGATACACATAAAACATCAAGCACTTGAATTGTAAACTACTGCAACAGCTGTACACACAATAAGTAACTTTAAGGGAAATATTAGACATGGTAATAGCAAACACTGTTAAAAATTAACTGGAAAAAATAGATTACCAGCCTCTCCATTTCCTGTTCTTTAAGCCTTTCTTCTCTCTGTCTCCTGTGGTAGTCCATTAGGTCATCTCTTCCAGAAACAGAACTAATGCTGTTCTTTCTCTCTCGAATGGAAGGAGTCTGCCTAAGGCTTTCCAAATCTGTTTCATCGAACTCCATGGAGCTATTGGAAACTCTCCTTCTCACAGGGAACACTCTCTCAGGATCCAAAGGAATAAACGAATTACTAGGGCTTGTCCCTGGCACTCCAACCCTATCAAAGTCATCAGGTGCATATGAGGATGTGGAGGCCAGAAGCATTTTTCTAGCTATCCGGGGGCTTGCAGGAACACTGAGAGTTGAATTTACATAGGAATTCACTTCAGGTACAAAGTTTGAATATGGCAATACTCCTGGGGTACAAGAAGAAAAATTAAGGTAATTGTCAGTATCCAGTATATTTTGAGGTAGAAGGTCTTTTTCAATAGTCTTCTTTCTTTTGGAATTTCCAGTAGAGTTTCTTGGGGGTAAACTCAGTGGTGTGAGTTGGCTTTCTGCTGATTTGTAAAGTCTGGGTAATGACCGACTATAAACTCCCATATGACTCAGTGAACCACCTGGATATTTTTTGGTTCTATACCCTTGAGCTTCCATTGCTGGGTCCTTCTGTTTAGCTGACCTGGCCTGAACTGACATGATGTCGTGTACGTTCATTTTCCTGCTTTGTTTTGGACTGGAGGGCATACTGGCAGCTCCAGAGCTGCTGACTGGTGAAATAATTATATCATTTCCTGAATTCCCATTCCACATTGCAAGAGATCCAGAGTTTTTCCACCCATCCAACACTCCTGGGAAATAGACGCTATCATGAGATTTATTCTTCTGGCTGTACTTTGAATAGGGAAATTTATCCAGATGTCCAAACTGTTTTTCATTTTCTCTGGCAGCATAAATATCCAAGTCGTTCTTTCCTAGGCTGTACCCACTTAAAGATGAGAACGTGCCTGAAATGGGGCCCATATGCTTTAGAGAAACATTTTTGTCTGAATGATAAGAGTTCTCACAAGCCAAAGGTTTGATTCCTTGAATTTTGGAAACAGATGGCATACTTTTAACACTAGATGCAGGGCTCAATTTAGGTGCCAGAGGTTGAGAGAGAGTTAAATAAGAACCAGAGTAGTCTTCATTTCTTTTTAATTTCAGACTTGATGAATATTTTTTCTGGCTGAGTCTGTCCATTATATGCTGAAGATCAGTTTCAAGAGAATTCATAACTACCTCCTTTCCTAAACTGGTGTTTTGTAATTCCACCTGGTTTTGCATATGACCATACTCTTCTAACATCTTGTTTGAATCTGAAAATAATGAAGAATGAGAAGAGGAGAAAAAGAGTTTTAACAAGTGAATTATTCATTTTTTGGCTTGCATAAATTTACAATTCATATTTCATAAAACCTGAATTCCACAACAACTTTCTAGCAACACTGATTACAGTATATATAGTGATGAGTAATTTTAGAAACTATTTTCAAATCACTTGATAAAAAATTATTACTCTTTTAAACAGCTATCTTATACAAAAAGAATCAAGATAGACTTACATCAAACCTGTGCCAGATGAGACCCCACAAATCAATGATGTTAGTGGTTCACCAGAGACAAATTTCTTTATTAGCTATTTATCTTAGCTACCTGAAAAGAAAGAAAAGAAATGAATGGAGGGGGGAAAGGTCAAGATTCTTACTGCCATTACAAATGGGTGATAGATTGTATTTGGGTCAGAGGCAGACGTGGCCTGATATAGCCCTTCCAGCTTCAGTAATAATTTCTTTATTCATTAAGTTAAGTGAATCCTTGCCACTTAAATTTGTTCTTATAATGTTGTCCCTCATTTGGCCTCCCAACAAGAAATGGGTGGACATTAAATTAGCGGGGATATAATATTCAGTCACATAGCCTTGTCAAATACTTCGCTTTCACTGGCAAACCTTGCTCTACTTTATATATTTGTACCCTTTCAACCACAACCATCATTCATGTTATATGAAATCCTGAAAAATAAGAGTTCAGTACTGTGGAAGTAATGCTGACAAATAGCTTTTATATTTCATATTTTACTTCAGTGCATGTTGTATTATTTTTACTCCAATTTATAAATGGATGTAACTGAAGGGAAGGGGTGAGATGTTTCAGTGTGCCATCTCTTTTATGCAACTAGAAGGAGAGAATTCCTGAAAAGAGTGAGTATTGCTTTCTAATCTCTGTCCCTGTTCCAAATCTCTTTGGATTCATTGGGAGATTCTATCAATGTAGCTTTACAATAAAATAGAAATAGCTTATCTGGTTGTGGTTCCTATCTGGTTTACCCTGCAAGGCTGACATCAATCTTGCAAGTCTGGAAGTACAATTCTTCCACCCCTCCTCTTCCAGTCTCCTTTACAGCCCGAGAACTAAGGAGGTCTCTTCTGAGTCTCTTGTCCCACCCACCATCTAGCTGCAGCCTATGCTGTCTCTTATCTGACCATTCCCATGGCAGCATCTCTTCACCTAGTCTCCCAAGGTCTTTCTCATATACCACTACAATTGTTTCTACATTTGTTCCAAAGTTAAATTAAGCTGTTCAAAGCAGATTTTGAGCATCTACAAATCT